GGGCCTACAAAAGTTGGGAAACTATCAAAGGGTGGTATTATTACTATCTGACTCACTGAGGAAACTAGTACAGCTGAAATCGGCCTCATAACCTTAGATACCCTATCCCTATGTTCAGAAATGCTTCCTTGTACATTATGCACACAAGCTTTAGGATTCTCACTTTTTCATCTTCCTTTTACTCTTCTGGGACAACCTCAATAAAATCAAAGCCCTTTGCTTCCATTTTCAACTAACCATTGTAACTTCTTACATCTAGACCTCACAAACGTTGCTGTAAGGACTGTTAAGAGAAGCAAGACAATTCCAAACTGTGGTTTAGATTTCTGCCTTTTTTTTTTAACAAGGTAGATTTTAAGCTGCAATTCTTAACATTTGTAACTAAAAAGTGCCCCCTGACATGACCACACACACATACACAACATCGAATTTACCTGGCAGCTGTTGAAGCAGGTGAAAGACATCCATTCAGCTGGCCATTGAGATACAAGGAGGTTGCAGTGAGAAATTGTGACAGGTCCATTTCTGATTGCTATAGCATCACTGATTGATGTGAGTGTGATAGAAGCATTATCTTATCCAATTTCCGGGTGAACAAATCTCCTTTACCAGATTTGCCTAGTAAAGTTGGTTTGGGTATTCATAAACATGGCAATAGTGCCACAGTCATGACTGTGTAGCGCTCATAAACACGGATCCATAACTCAAGATTCTGCCTCTTTAACTGCAATAATGAATTTCATAGTATGTTTGTTGAGAGCAAACTCAAAAAGTTCCAGTCTCCTTCCAGCCATGCTGGAAGAAGCAATTGAAGTATACAGTCTTGAAGCTCAGCCAATCTTGTTTAAGTAATGAAGTTATAGTTGCTAATGTAATACTAAAACAGCCATTAGCAACCTGGTACTGGAATCTATTTTTAAAAATAGGAGAGAATGTTTCCTTTCTTAGAGAAGTCCCATAGGAAATGGTGCTTTTCCAGAGTGTTCTGACAGCATTTGACAGATGCATTCATTTCCTTGTTAAACAAAATGTTTTAAAGAAAATGGATTGTGGGCAGATCATTACAAGAGTATGCAACATCTGGCTTTGACAGGACAAAATGTGCCGTATGCAAACTGTTTGGGCAAGATGAAACCATCTTTCCTATTGCACCAAGATATGCCTTAAACCCCAAATGTGTAATAATTAATTGGCAGAGGGTGGAATTGAGAATCTTTTAATTTTTCAGCAGTGTTTTTCTTTCATAAAAAGTAAACATTAAGTGTCCCCAGGGTAGATTAAAAAAACAGGGAGAATCCTGCCATTAGGGCAGCGATTCTCAACCTGTGGGTCCCCAGATGTTTTGGCTTTCAACTCCCAGAAATCCCAAGAGCTGGTAAAGTGGCTGAGATTTCTGGGAGTTGTAGACCAAAACACCTGGAGAACCACAGGTTGAGAACCACTGCCTTAGGGAGAGTAGGGCACTAACATCAGATGGCAGATTTAAAGGGGAAGGAGAAAAACAGTAAGGAGAGTACTGTATATGCTGCACCCTGCCCTGTACTTTTGAACTATCCTCCTGTATTGTTTTCTGGATGGATTTCTATTGTATGTAATAAGAATAAGAATAACAGCTTTATTTATATCCCGCCTCGTCTCCCTCCCTCCATGTAATCCTCCTGACTTTTGCAGATTGTGTAATATATAGATAGGATCCCCTGGTGGTGCAATGGGTTAAACCCTTGTGCTGGCAGGACTGCTGACTGAAAGGTTGGCGGGTCGAATCCGGGGAGCGGGGTGAGCTCCCATCCGTCAGCTCCAGCTTCCCACGTGGGGACATGAGATAAGCCTCCCACAGTAAAAACATTCAGGCATCCCCTGGGCGACGTCCTTGCAGGTGGCCAATTCTCTCATATCAGAAGCGACTTGCAGTTTTCTCAAGTTGTTCTTGACACACACAAAAATGTACAGATTTGATTAAAATGTTCACTCTCAGAATCTCTACCTTCTCAAGTTTGACTCTATGGTCTACTTCCTCCAATTAAACTGGAAAACCTAGAGATTATAGCAATAATGCCTCTCTAGGAATCTCCAGATCCTCAAGTGCAATTTTAATGTCATTTCCCAGTGAAAGTCAACCATAAAGTCATGCTGGAAGATCAAGAAATTTGTAGAGAGATGTTTCTCGGGTTAAATAAAGTGCAGCTTCTTTATCCATTGCATTTTTGTGTTCCTAACCCCATTGAATGTGAAGGGCTGACTGTATGCAGTTATTATGTACTGTTGTTTGAGTTGAGGGGCAATAATTATCTCTGCAATTCTAGTATTATCTTCATTTTAGTGTGGAAGATGTTGTCTGAACATTAGTGTTGATGAAAGATTCAACTGTGTATTCCATAAGATTTTTTATACAGAATGAATGAGGCATCACATTTCATTCTGTGTAATGCCTTGCCCTAGTCTTGTTCAGGAACTCTACTGTTAGCTGGAATACTTTTAAATAAAAATCAGATGTCCTAATTTCCAAGTCCTTTTAAGAGATATAGATCAGTAACGGATCCACAATAATTTCATCACAACTAGTTCCTCTCGGCTAGATCAAAGGCCTGTCACTAAGTCAACAGAAGCTACATAAAGCTCGCTGACTCATATTTCCTGTGCACTTTGCTATTAAATGATGCGAAGTGAAATATTGGTCAGTGATACTCTTCCCTGTTCTAAGGGATACAATTTGTTCTTTCGTGATAGGATTATATGGAAGAGATTAAATTCCGGCGTATCTTTTGGTTAACATGTTGAGAAGACTGTGATTGATATTTTGTGAACTGAATTTGCTATCTTTTTAGATATTACAAGATTTGATTTATGCTATTCCCTGAATATACATTGCTAATTATATTAAAAGATCATTGGGAACCTATTTCTTTTAAAGCAAAATATTAAAAGTTTAGATAGTACCATATCCTACTCTGTAGCTGGATGGTGGGCATCCTGTAATTGATATCCAATTCTGAGAGTTAAAACTGGAAGCTTTCTAATTCAGGAAGTCTCATAATAAAATTGCCCAGTGAAAGTATTAAAAGCTCTCATCAAAACAATAAGAGCTAAGCATTAAGAGTGTGCATTTGACAGCATTTCCAAACACATTTCTGAATTAGGCACACATTGTTTTGCTACTGAGGTCAAATAAAAATATGGATATGTATTATTATATTGCTCCTTCTACAGTGGCTTCTGGCATACTGTTATCCACCCAATTCTACAAAGTATTCCTGCAAAAACTGATGAGTTTTACATACACTATTTTCTGGCAGATCAGACTCCAATGGTAAAAGTTAATGTGGTTGGGTTTTGTGCTGCAGCTCATTTTGTCAACTAAAAATTACATCATAAACTTAGAGAAATTTTTACCTGTATTTAATGGTATTTGTTTTTGTATGATCGTGGTAATGATAGTTCGATGATTCTACTTGTTTGTCTTATCTGTTGATTGTAATAAATCTCATTCATTCATATATAAAACACCATATTTGATTTGGTCATTCCAGAGACTGGGATTAATCTATCAATTAACTCATGTGTGTATAGAAGATCAGAAAGTCCCAAATATTGTTCCTGATCTTTCTGAATTTATTTTGGAGATCCATACACATTGTTATACCAGAATATTTTCTACCAGCCCTTTATGCAACTCCCTACAGGAAAGCTTGAACATTGGCTACTATTTCTCAGCCAAATACAATGTCTTGAGCCTTTGAAGAAAACTCTTTCAGCAGGACAAGAGAGTTGGGAAGTTTTCTTTGTTGAGTCTTGAGAACACTGCAGTTCTGACTTTATATGACCTCCTATATCTGCAGGACCAGTATCCATGGTTTTATTTATACACATCCAATAAAGTATATCCTTTCTAGACATATTCTAGGTCCTTCAGCAATACTTTATTACCCTTGAATCAGAAGTCCTTCATTTCAATAGGTTCACTATTACTCATGTTTTTGTCCATCTGCAGAAAGTTCAGGAACATATACCCTGTGGATATGGGGGTTGTACTGTTTTATAAAGCTCTTTTGCATTATCTATACAAGTGTTTATAAACTGGCTCTTCAAGACTGCATTGTTTTCTGCATAACTACAAAGAGAATTCATTTAGTGCAGTTAGATATTTTATTTATTTATTTATTTAAAACTTTTATATCCCAATCTTCTCTTCCTCCATAGAGGGACTCAGACCGGCTGACAGCAAGGATTCAATGCTAACACTAAAAATCTAAAACATCATACATCAACATTAAATTAACAAATACATATAGGATAAATTACCTAAAAGCCGTTCACCAAGATAAAATCATGTCCAACTCAGTCCGTATATTCAGTCCATATATTGTGGTCAGTAACTTTGGTCAATTGCCGGTCTCAGACATCATTCCACAAAAGCTTCGTCCCACAGCCAGGTTTTCACTAGCTTCTTAAAGGTCGGGGGGGGGGGGGCAGATCTAATTTCATTTGGGAGGGAATAAAAAAGAAATAAATAAAGTTGCTGCCAAGTTCTACAGTCAACATTGTTTGAATTGCCTATTAAGAATTGCTATATGTAAATCACTGCACTCGTAAATTAAAAGGCCGAGGAAGAGGGTTTTTTTTCCGCCTTTCCAAGTAAAACTCTAGGACCAATAGTCTGTTTCATCTAGTGGATTTAGTATGGTGTATATGTGGGTTTTGTTTCAACCCTTGATGAAAATAAGAGGGCAGTTATTTTTATATGCACGTCTGTAACCGCTTTGAGTCTCCCCAGGGGTGAGAAAGGCGGTATATAAATACTGTAAATAAATAAAGTAAATACTTTCAAAGGTTTGTTGTGCTTGATTTCTCACTAGTTTATTAAGATTGCAAAAAGCTGAGAGGTTTAATGCTGCCAAATGAAGCCACTTGTGGTTTTAAAGCAAACTAATATTTCTGTCTATGTGTTGGATTTGTTTATAATAATGATTAACATTCTTTGTTTTTTTATTTCCCTTTCATAGAATGCTTCTGATTTCAGTGACACTGCTTTCTATTTATTCAATAAATCTCCTGTTAATTTGTGCCAAGGAAACAGGTAATTCCTAGTAACATTGAATTAAATCTATAGCAACAAAGAGAATAAAGTTGAAGAATATGGAAAATAAAACCTTCTGAATAGCACACCTTCCATAATTTTATAATATGGAGAGGAAGGGAGAAAAATTGTAGTGTCCCTGAATACAATAGATAGATAAATTCAAATCTATTTCACTAGAGTATCTGAAGTCAAACTGTAATTAACATTAACTGAGCTGGAATTCAAAAGTTCAGATAGGGACAAAAATGAAAGTATAAGAAAGAGCAGCACCTGTTATTGATGCATTCTTTCCTTCTGAGACAAGGCACAGATAGATAGAGAACAAGGGAAATACAAGATAGTTTCTTTACTTTTGTGTATGGTTGGCACGATTGCAGTACATTAGCATAAAGGGAGTTCTTGAAATGGGTGGGTTGCTAAGCTAATGGAAGGATTATCCCTAGGATTGGTACAATGTGTCAACAGTCTTCTACAGCTTCAAACAACTTCCATCCTTTTTCTCTACCTGGTATGGTGTTTTGCTGGCATGCCAAAGTAGAGGGGCAGGCAGGGAACATTTCATTTTAGTCTGGAATGAGGGTACCCATATTTTTTATTAGTATTCCATTTGTTTGTTATCAGTAGTAAGACAAGGCTGCTGCCTGTTTATAGTCTGAAAATTATAGTCCCAGAAAATAATGCACTGTTCTCCTAGCATTACAACAGGAGCTCTGGATGTACAGTCTTTTGCTGTTTTTATTATGATCAGTCAACAAATCAATCATATTAAGATGAGGCGTCAAAGGGCAGACATTAGCACTTTCGGGCATAAAACAAGGCAGGACTTTAGTTGGAAGAGATTTGATTTCAAATTCCACCTTCTTGAAACCTTAATTTGGGCATTCTGAGCTCCCTGCAATAACAGTCACATTCTGCCACACACCATTGTTTTCCTTCTCATCTTTCACAAGTTGTAAGATAAACTTCTGCAGGCTAGCAACTTGTTCTATACATGAAAATAGAACATGTATGCAAATTTATTGAGTTTGTACAAATTTAGCAAGCTTAGTGCCACAAATGTTTGTCCTCCAGTTTGCAGTTGACAGTGTTGATGAGGAAAATTGATAATTGGTGGCCTCCTTGTTAGTGAGGTGGTAAATTTGGTTATGGCTTTTAGTGACAGTAGGTATGTTCCATGTTAATGGGGTGGTGAATTTGGTGGGAGCTTCTGGTCTGAATGACCCAGGCAGTGACCCTCAAGTGTAAAGACTGAATACCAAAGTCAGAATCTCCAAGGCAGTGCTATTTGTGATTTTTATATGCCAGTGAAAGCTGGTCTGTGAAAAAAAACTGTTAGGAACAGAATAAACTCATTTGAAATGTGGTGCTGGAGAAGAGATCTGGGGATACAGCAGGCTGCAAAAAAGACAAATGTATCCAGGAGCAAGTCCGATCTCTTACTAGAAGTCCAAGATGATAATGCTTGATATAGATGAAGACATTGTGAGGGGGATAGACTCAATCAAGGAAGCCAAGACCCTGAGTTTGAAAGACTTGAGTGGGTCTGTTGATAATAGCGTTTTCTCATGCAATTCATATTGGTGAACATTGAATCCTTGAGTCAACTATGAAGAGATTAAGGATAAAGATGGGTTCTCCTGGCTATTGGGTAAATGATTAGGTCAAAGGAAGTAATGTCAGACATAGACATGTTAGCCTATAGGCAAGGAAGTAGTGATCAGACAAGGTTAGAGAGAATCCTAACTGCCTGTTTCGACTTCCATTACTCCCAGTTGGTACAAAAGTTGAAAACGAAACGACTTGTTTCCTTGCTGTGCATTAATTCATAATTCATCTTCAAATTGGTTTCATCAGGTTGCATGGTTTATGAAAAACTTGGTGAGCAAGTCTTTGGCACTCCGGGAAAATTCATTGTTTTTGGATCTACATCTCTGCAGAACACTGGAGGTAAACAAAATATACATGTAGATAAAATGAGTAGTTCACTTAGCACTTTCAAGTCTGGTCAAATTATCACTTCTCTTAAATAACCATATATCATGTAATAAATTTTGGGTGACTCGATTGTTTCTAGTTCTTTGGGCAAAGCTCACTCTGTGCATCTTCCCTTTTCATCCACCACCATTAATAAAACTTCTGTGGTATTTTTCAAGAGCAGGTGAGCCTTACAAATGCTTTTTGGACCTTTTTTGTAATATAGCTCATGCTATCAAGTGTTTTGTCCTAGTTATATAGTTATCGTAATACTATCTTGATCTGTAAACACTATGTATTGCATAGACCATCGCCTAAATGATTTCAGAGAAGACGTTTTTGTACTTGGAGATACATTTTTTATTTTAAAAAATACATATGTCACTTGTCTGAAATTGAAATTGAATCATGTGCATTTTTAATTATCTGACTTTTTAAAATTATACACAAATGGAAAGTGGATCAAGCCCTTCTCATATATATTTTAAAGGAGAAGCAATTCAAAATGCATGTTTTATATGTGTAATTCAGATAAATACGTGCAAAGGTCAGATACAGTGTAACATGTACAGCAAAGACAACATTGGTCTTGACAATTCCTTTCTGCATTTTGTTTCCAGTGACCCCTGAGCAAAACTATAAACCACAGCTTGATCTTTTTTTTGTACAGGCAGCCCCCAAGTTGCAAACAAGATAAATTCTGTAGTTTTGTTCTTAAGCTGAATTTTATATAAGTTGGAACAGGCACACTTTTTGTGTAACTCCAACCAATATATCTGTCTGTCTGTCCATCTGTCTGTCTGTCTGCATGCTTTGAATAGGGAATTGTTAACACCCCTGTGGTGTTTCCTTTGCTCTCTGTCACCCTGTTCAAAAGATTTCATTTCACTTTCTGTTTCTGTGATAATTGGATTTTTTTTTTAAAAAAATGGCTTGTTGTGGAAACGAAGATTGGTGATAAAGCTTCATTTGAGATACCTTTTCCCCATGATAACTCTTCTAGGAGTGGATCTCACTTCCTGTTCTCACCCCGTACTTAACTATGAGTCATTTGTAAGTCAGGTGTTTGTAACTTGGAGACTGCCTGTAATAATCATGTATATGAAGCACTTAAACTACATTTATCTGGCAGAGATGAGATGTCTGAAATTTAGCAAATCAGGAAGTCAGTTCTATTTGTATACAGTAGGAGGAAAAAATGCTTAACCTCATCATTCATTCCCAGAGCAATACTATTTGGGTTTATTGGATCAAGAATATTATGTTTCAGCATGATCAGTGTTCAGTTTTTAATAGAAGGAGTTTATATTTGAATTTATATTGGCTCCACTCACATATGCATAAGTTTGAGTAACTTCGATATGAATAAACATTTTGTTTCTGCACAGCCTATGTACATGATCTAGCAACTAACCAAGAAGCGTTGGATTAATTTTCCCCATTTAGCTCAAACTGGAAAACTATGATATGATTTTATGCTAGTTTAATACCTTGAAATTTTCTTAAACTTCTCACTGTTTTCCCATTTTGAAATGGCAAAACCTTCTAGTTTGTAATCTGGCTCCTGAAAAAGAGATTGTGTACAGGATGTGTATATAAAGACTGGTTTATACCCAAAATATTATCATCCTAACTCCTCTAAGATCTTATTTCACATGAACCCTTGAGTACTGTGGATAAAAACTAAGTTTGTCATTCTCTGTTGGCATCAGGATTTATTGTATTTCCTTTCTAAAAATAATTTCTTTTCCTTAGCAATGCTGAGCTATCTCTTCATAGTTAAAAATGAACTACCTGCTGCCATAAAGTTCCTTATGGGAGAAGAAGAATCATTTTCGTAAGTTTAAACAGTGGTTTTGCTGACTTGAAAAATGTATTGTGCTTATTTATAGACTTACATAAATGGTTCAGTGATAGAAGTACTGTATTTGCACCCTTCTCCTTATGTTAATATGTCACATCAAGATTACAATTAGAATTAATAAGGGTGATAAAAGAAAATATAACCTAAAAAGAAAGCCTTTAAAAATTAGAACAGTAAAACAAGGATACTTCATAATACTGTGTTCCCTCCATTCTGAGATGCACTTTCCCCCCCATATAAACATATTTAAAAACTGAGTGCATGTTAGAATTGCATAAATACCTGCAATTCTAAGTAGCACTCCGTTTTAGCGATTTTATATGCATCTCTCCCTCTCTTCCCCCCCCTCCCCACACACACACATAATTTTCTGTTGGTTGTACTGAAATTAGTATGCATCTTGCAATCAATTGTGTCTTAGAAATAGCGAAGAAATACCACATTAAACCATTGAGATACATTTTAATCCCCCAAATCTCTGTTAATCTGTGGGATGCCAGGATCATCTTCCATCAGAACTTTCCAAATGTTGGATCAGATCCACAAAATATGGTCTTCATATAATGTAGCTTTACAGATTTAATACAGACATTACATTAATAATGTGGATAGAAAAACAAAAAAAATCTGCACACTGTGTTTTCAGTTCAGATGTCATCATGCTTCCCATGCCAGACCCTTTTATTTTCCTGTGATGGAAACTTGACTGTGTTGGTGTCTTGCCTTTACACAGGGGCGGCTCAACCCATTATGCAAAGTAAGCATTTGCAGTATAGTTGATTTTGCCCAGGGTCACTCTTGGGGGAAATAGACCTTGACATATGCGAGTTGTAGTTACTGGGATGTATAGTTCACCTACAGTCAAAGAGCATTCTGAACTCCACCAATGATGGAATTGAACCAAATATGGCACACAGAACTCCCACGACGAACAGAAAATATATATCAATGATTGGTTGGGGGGGGGGCAAAATACTGTTTGTTTACCGTTCAAAATTACCTAGGGCCGCCTCTGCCTTTACATAGACATATTTAAAGGATTTGGAGACAAGTGTCTTTGAGTGCTGATGATACATACTCCAGACTTGGAAGGTAGTCATTACTTGCCTGACGCTTCAGAAATACCTCTTTTAGGCTGGATGTGTCATATGCATACACAACTGCAGTAGTTTTAGTCCAGAAAGGTAATACTTATAGGATGTGATACTACATCAGGTTTTTAAAATCTGAGCCCTCTTTGAACACTGATTTTAATGCAAGTAAAAGTTTGTGGGTGGGTTCCATTTCAGTATGCCACTGTGGCCTTTGTCCCTTTTATACAAGAAATTGTATGGCAGTTTGGGAGCAGAGAGAAGGCACAACTAGCAAGGAAATTGGCTGTACCAAGACTATTAAAAAGTCTGACATTCCCAGGAAGACTAATTCTGTGCACAGTAGCATAATACAATCTGTTTTTCATGTGCCTCAGTCTTGTACGGCCCTGAATGTAATACTGAAATTGGCTGAGATATATTTGATTTGTTTCCTTCTGTTTTCCTTTCTCCATTAACAACATTCACACCTGAGGACAAAATAGGATAATCGGAACTGAAAATAATTTACAACAAGATACAAAATAAGACCAGACTTGTTCCTGTGTAGCTAATTGAAACAGGTTCTAGATGTGACAGCATCTTGCTGATAGTGTGTTTACATTTGTGGTATCAATGCCCATACCCAGTAGCTGACCAGATGGATGACTAGATCTGCAGAGGAGGAGTGCATGGAAATAAGTCCTGTAGGTGATTATTTTTCTAATAGGCAGCTATTACTAAACAAGTTTCTAGTCATAGAATCAGATTTGTTTGAAGAATTGATTTTCATTTAAAAGAGGTGTTGCTCTTCCATGGCCACAAAGATGTATTGCAAGAACTGCCTGTCTGGTTGAGTAATCTTTTCCTGTGTTTACAGCTTGTGGCATGTCTAATGCCAGTTGGCATGGTTATGCCCTCCCTCCCATAGCTCTTAAGCAATGCTTTTCTTACTGAGTGAATATGGCCTAGATTCAGTGAAAAGCCTCTTGAAATGAATATGTTATACCATCTAAAGCAAGGACAGAGAGTATGTACCCTCTGGTATCCAGCTCCCATGATTGCTTACCATTAGCTGTTCCAATCAAGGCTGACGGAATTCACAGTCTAACAACTTCTAAAAGGCAATATGTTCTTCCTCTGTTCTAGTGTAGCTAGAGAATATTCAGCCTCTTTTTGAGTGATTAAAAAGGGAGAATAAAATATGAACATCCACGATAATGAAGTGATGTCATCTAACAGCACACAATGCCCGTTAAAACAGCTCCACTATCTGCTGATAAGTTCCGGTCCCAATTCAAGGTGCAGGTTATGACCTACAAAGCCCTAAATGATTCGGACCCCGCTTATCTTCGTGACCGCATCTTCCCCTATGAACCGGCATGGGCTCTAAGATATGCTGGGGAGGCCCTCTTTTCACATCCACCACCATCGCAATCGTGGTTAGTGGGGATGAGGGAGAGGGCCTTCTCGGTGGTGGCCCCTGACTTTGGAACACCCTCCCCAGGGAGATTAGGTGACCCCCCCCCCCACTGTTCTGCTTTCATAGGGATTTGAAAACCTGAATGTTCCAGCAAGCATTTGAGAGTTATATATGCCTGTCCCTAGGTCGCAAGATAGTACTGTGTTTTGCACTTCATCTACTTCCCCGGCTCTATAGTACACTATTTCCACTGCCCCTTGCCCAGCCCTTTTATAGTTTGGTTTTGCCCAATTTAGAAATCTTGGTCATTGTTTTTGTTGAACTTGGTCTGATGGAGCTCCAATGCAATTTGTTTTATTATGTTACGTTTAGTGTGTTTTATCTGGGTTGTAATATTTTATGATGCTCCTATTTTAATGTGTTTTGTTTTATGGATTGTTTTTGTTTTTATGTTTTCTGGACATTTTGTTCCATATGTAAACCGCCCCAAATCCCTTTGCGGAGATGGTGTTGTTGTTGTCGTCGTCTTGTCCTTTGATTTTTGGACTGTATGGCCCTTGTGACTTTTTCTGACTCTATGATACTATCACCACACTTTTGAAAATGTTTTTCAGGGCCTGGTATGTGGATGGGCGAGTTCTTGTTGTAACGGTGACATTCTGCGTAATCCTTCCATTATGCCTTCTTAAGAATTTAGGTAAGGATGTATTACCTTTCTTAGAGTTAAGTATTGTTTTAAGATGTAATATTTAAGGTGTACTCAGAATCCGGGACATCTTAGTCTGATTGCAGATTCTTACCCTCTGTTCTTCGGAGTAAACAATACATAGAGAACTATAATAAAGAACTGTAAGTTACAATTTGATTCAGTATGAATACATTTGGCTGTCTGAACCTGAGGAGAAATAAAGTGATCATTTGACATGTCTATTTTGAGCACAGATTGCATTTTTAAAACAGATTTATTTTCCCTGGGACAGAATAAATGGTATGGCCTCATTAAGTACCTAAATCTATATTATTCCCAAAATAAAAAGGGTTAAGGTTAAGGAATGTATTTGTCAGATATCAATTTGTGTGTGAACAATTATATGTAAACCTCAGATGAACAAACACCTCTGAAAATACCCCTTTTCTTTCTGCCAGTCCTCTTCAGCTTTTTCTGCACAAACTCTCAGATTTGTTGCCAAGTCTCCAGACAGACTTTCTTCTTAAAAAGCCAGACTATGCAATTTTAAAGTTCTCTTCTTTTTTATTTTATAAAGGTTATTTAACAGGCTTTCCTTGTGCAGTAAAAGTTCTCGCTATTCATTGATACGCTCAGATTGTAACATTTAGAATTTCTGTGCAGTCAAGATCTTCTCCCTGCCGCACAATTCAACGCTTGTTCTTTAAATGGATATTATTGGCACTCTGTCATCCTCAATGCTAAAAGGTTGAGTCAGAATGTTAAAAATATATAAAATACATAATAAACTTTCATAACTATGGGTAGCACTTCTGGTTGAGCCTGGAAAAGGGAAGAAAGTGTTTCATTCAGAATAATACAAGCAATTGCCTTAGACAGAAAAATTACAGGGCCCTCCCGCAGTGATGTGAAAATTGAAATGCATGTTTGACACCTTTCAGTAGAACTGTAATGATCTCCACATGGTGCTAATTTTGAGGATTAAAGTAGTCACTAATACATTACCAAATAGATTAAATTAGCATGAGAATATAATCATTTGCATGAATTTTGCACATGCCAACATATACTCATAGATGCAAATATAAAAATAATTATTATAATTTAAATTGTAATCTCCATACTAGGAATGACTGACCTGTGCCCCTGATTGGTCTATTTTCCAGGAGCAGGTGTTCCAGTTTTTCCTGTTAGGGTTCTTTAAACTGGACTTTAACTAGAGTGCACTTCAAATAGAGAACATTTTCAGATATTCTCCATAAAGTAGGACATGTAGTTTAGAAATATCAATTGAATAAAGTTGCTCTGTTGTAAACAGCTAGAATTTATAATACTGCTTCTATAGCAGATGCAATAGTTGTCAAGAGCACTTCTGGGCCCAAGTTAGGTGATTATTTTTTTACCATCATCAGCTTGGAGCCAAGTTATTTGAAGAACCACTAACACTCATAGAAGCTTGTCTGGCTATTTGGATTTGATCCTGAGGTCCTATTTATCGGTCACCCGGTAAAATAATAGGGGGGGGGGTCCCTTAATTTGAAGTTCTATTCCATGGGAAATTCACTCAGTATGTGTTTTAAATATGTTTTTAAAATGTTTCATCTGCTTTCACTTAATTCATTTGACATTGGTATGGATTTTTAAATTATTTTTTGTTTGGTTTCTGCTTTCTCTTCTCATTCTGTACTTGGTTTTCAACCATGCTCTTAATGTTATGTATTAGCAATTAGGTTACATTTTGTCTGAGTTGTTTTATGATTATTTAGTGGGTAAAAGGTAAAGATAAAGGTAGTCCCCTGACATTAAGTCCAGTCATGTCTGACTCTGGGGTGTGGTGCTCATCTCCATTTCTAAGCCGAAGAGCCGGTGTTGTCTGTAGACACCTCCAAGGTCATGTGGCCGGCATGACTGCATGGAGCGCCGTTACCTTCCCGCCGGAGCGGTACCTATTGATCTACTCACATTTGCATGTTTTCGAACTGCTAGGTTGGCAGAATATTTAGTGGGAAAGCAGCCTATATATGCTTAAAAATAAACAAATGATTCATAATAACAATAATTTTCTTTCTTACCCACTTCTCCCTGCTTAACTATAATTTGTTATGTAATTAAATATATATGATGACAGAATGAGTTACTGAATATGTTGTATTTGAATTCCTCCCAGGATATCTCGGCTATACCAGTGGTTTTTCCCTGACCTGCATGGTATTTTTTCTCATAGTGGTAAGTTTTACTTAATGTGTTAATTAACTTGGATTACTTACACCTAGGTTAAAGCCATTTATTTACACTTGTGGCTCTTTTCCTCACTCTGAAGGGAACAAAAATCCAACAGATTTCTGATAGCTGTGAGGGTTTTACCTGTTGAAATGTCCGCCATTCATATCAAAGTCTTTGTCTCCTAGAGGGACCTGTGGTGTCACATCATTGTGTCTGAGTGCTTTGCTCCCTCTAACTGAGCCATGTGGCTCCACCGCATACAGTGAAAAGAACATATCTTGAACACAAACAGAAGAAGATCCAGTCCAAGTTCCATACTCTGGTATCAGTGTTAATGAGAAGACTTTTACATCCTCACATTGTAACCTTGCAGAGATATTTCAGATTAGTTTGCCTTTCTGAAAGATGGACAAACAAAATATCTATTTGAATCCTTTTATTTGTGACTGGTTTACAGTGTACTTTTAGGGGATCCCCTGTCAAAGACTTGTCCAGTTCTTTGAATGAGTTTCAAGAGTTGAGACATGAGGATACAACTGCCCAGCCTCCTCTACTCTTCATCCATGGTTGCCTTGGCTTTATCACAGCCAAAATATGACCTTTGCTGAGGAAAAGCAGGGGGTCTCAAAGACCTTTCATTATGATAAATCCTGCAGCAGTCTGAATTACTATATACCTATTTCAAGAAGGTAATGTTGGAGGAAGCTAGTTGTGTTTATTGAAATTATGTTTTGCTATTGTTTAGACCTCCGGTTCTGTATATTTTCATGTTGTTTTTCCATCTTTGAGATTACTGGAAGATTTGGAAGTAATGGGCGAGATGCTAACAGCACTAAGGTCTATTCCCATCAAATTACTCAAAGCAGATTATCCTGAATAAATAGCTGAATATGGCAACGGGCTGAATAAAGACTGATAATCTGTGACTCAATCAGACAAGATGGAAATTATGCTAAAATATTGGCTGTCCATTGGTTAAATTGCCTTCTCTAAATAGAGTTGTGTTTCCAAAGGAACAGTTTCATATTCTGAGAGTTTTAATACGTCTAGCTCTCTCAAACATGTGTATCTTCTACCAGCTTTAGCTGATATGTTGGATGTAACCTTATCTGGAGGAAGATGGCCTCACTGTATTTTATCCATGCAGTGCCTGGCTTGCTGCAGTTGGCTGCATGTGTAAGTAACTTTGAAGGCTCTAGAACCCGTCAATTGTGTAGAATACACCAGGAAGACTACTCACAGGAACAGGACCGTTTCAAACATATTACTATAATACTGTACCAATAACTGTACTACTTGCTAGTCAGATTATGGGCCCAACTAAAAATGTTGATCTTGAGTTTCATAAATCCCTCACTTAGATACAACAGTCTACTTGGAGGAGCACCTTCTTTCCTAATTTCTGCCTGACAAATCATCCCCTGAAGTCTTTCTTGGGTACTATCACTCGCTGGTACAATACTGGCTACCAGTTCCTCTCCCCAGCCGTGCTCTGTAGAATATTATTATGACGACTTACTTGGCATCTTCCTTGTTTACATTTAACTGTTAAGATTTTTCATTTTTTTCAGGCATTTTGACCTAAATCCAATTATAGTTGTCACAATAAATCAATGGGAACTTAAGTCACCATTTATTCACATTACATTGTTTCAGTCCATCTAGTCTGGCTGAGACTAACAACAGGACTTAATGTGTTACTTACATTAGTGGTTTTATGGTTGGCTTAAACTATTTGACATTTAAAATGTTAGCATGCTTAGTATTTTATCTTTACTGTTTCATGTTACAATATCTTGGCAGTTTATGTTCTAATTGTTTCCTCTTGCCAATGTTTATTTCAGGTCGTCTACAAGAAATTTCAGCTTCCCTGTCCCTTTCTAGAAGGAAACACAAATAGAACCGACTCTGCATTTTCAAACTCTAGTTCTCTTTCTGAGGATATGTGCACTCCCAAGTATGTGACCTTTAATTCTAAGGTATGTTTCTCTCCACAATTCACTTATCATATCATCCTATTTATAGACAGTTCTGGACTCTGAAAGGAGAAAAATTGGGGCTTTTTAAAAATTAGAACAGGCTACATTTTGAATTCATGCTCTTTCCAAGGCAGAAGTGTTCAAAGAAACTTGAATTTGTTTTTACAATAAACCAGGTAGTATAGTGTATAAAAGAGGAAAATTCTGCTTTAGGCAGAATCCCAAGGAGTTGATGCAATTGCTAAGGGGCAGCACTGCAACCATTCAAACCCTGCTATTGGGATTTGGGAAACCCTCTGGAGCGGATTGCATGCAGGGCTGAAGCAGTAATGAGAAAGGAAGAAAAACATGTCATTGCAGTGGGTATCTAATAGGAGAACATAGGCCATAGTGTGGGAGCAGAAGACAGATAAAAACCATCTATAAGAAGCAACGGCCAGTTTTGTGGATTCCATTGTAAAAGTTGTGGGTTTACATTACATGTTGGAACAAACAGTCTACTGCTGGAATTTTCTGGCTTGAGAGGTTGTGAAATGTTTTTTCTTTTATATAAGAAAAAGCTAGTGAGAAATCTTTTGAGACTATTAGATATGCTGTGCCTAGAGATAGAAATTAAGTGACCGATGGGAACTTTGCCAGCTGAAGAACTCTGTGAACATGGTTATACAAATTCATTGAGATTTATCTTCTGCACTTCCAGTTCTGCCTTTTATTTCTTACTGGAATTTCCCCTGTGTAATATTTGAAGGCTTACACACACACACACACACACACACACACAGTAAAGAACAGAAGGTAACATTGAAGCAGATAGATGTCAGTTGCTGAAAAAGAAAAACATATTGAAATGGTAATTACCTTGAATATGGTTTGCATAAATGCAAAATATTAATAATTGAAAAGGACCTAAAATCTCCTAAGCATTATGCAACACATTTACAGGCCTGAATCCAATCATTAATTGGACTATTTATTTATTTATTTATTTATTTATTTATTTACAACATTTCTACCCCACCTTTCTCAACCCAAGAGGGTACTTAAAGCGGCTTTACACATAGGCAACTAAAAACAATTTACAATTAAAATGAACATTTAAAATAGAATAAAAATACATTAAAATGATTAAAACATTTAAAACAATACATTCACAATTATGTGATCCATAAGCATCATCCAGGCCGTTCCTATAGTCATTGCACATCATTCCATATCTATCTATTGTACAAGTTCTCCAAAGGCTTGGTCACAGAGCTACGTTTTCACTCTCTTATGGAAGGTCAAGAGTGAGGGGAGCTGATCTAATATCCATGGGGAGGGAATTCCACAGCCGGGCCACCACTGAGAAGGCCCTGTCTCTTGTCCCCACCAATCATGCCTCCGAAGGAGGTGGAACCAAGAGTAGGGCCTCCCCAGATGTTAAACTCCAAGATGGTTCATAGAGGGAGATATGTTCAGACAGGTAAGAACCATTTAGGGCTTTGTAGGCTAAAAACAGTACTGGCATTAGAATAGGCCCAGTGAAAAAAATGTGGTTTATGCAACTGCTATCACTCAGGAGTTGTATCTAAGTAATTACTCTAGTCAGGACTACCATTGGGACCAAAATATATAACAGACAAGGGTGCCAAATATGGTGAGGGAAGAGAAAGCAAGCAAACGTAAGGATCAGTTCTTAATGTGCCATTCTTATAATGATCTGTGCAGAAGCAATTCAGCCTCCTTTTCATGGCAACCAAGTAGGCTGTCCATCAAGAGGTGACATTTAAGGGAGAAGAGGAACTAAAGCCAGGCCCTACCTTTCCATGCCCCCTTATTCCATGGCAGTCAAAGAATCAAATCTAATGACAACATTGTAATCAGATATTCTGGTAGTAAAAAGGCATTTTTGAAACGTCATTGCATGCACGTTATTCAATAGGTATTATCTTCTCACTGAAGCTATAGCTAGTTCTATTTCTATTTCTGGAGTGTATATAGGGCAGACAAAATTCAAAAGGCTCCCTTTCTTTGATAGGACAATTCTTCCTTCAGCAGAAGGATTTTTTAACATGAAGGCATTTCTGGTCTCATTACAATATAAGCAGCAGTATATCTTTAAAAGGTTATTTTAGGCAACAACTCCCCAAATCTCTCAGGCACTGACCATGCTGGCTAAGGGATTCTGGGAGTTGTATTCTATAGAAGGAATATTTCCATACTCTGGGAGTAGTAAATATGATATGCAGCAGTTGAAGGCAAAGGAGTCATCCCACCTCAAGCAAAAAGGTGGTGAACCTAGTTAATTAGTATAAAGCAGCGGTTCCCAAACTGTTCCACAGAACCCTGGGGCAAAAGCATTCAAGAGGTTATGTGAAAAATCTTTAAAATATTTTTTTAAGTGCCAAAGAATGAAGATCTCGCTAAAATTCAGTGTAGCTAGCTCTGCTTTAAAAATAAAATTTGAATCTGTGCCACTGAGTGACTTGTTGTGTTGGACTGATAGACTTAAATCCATCAGTAGCTGGAAAGGCTATCCAAGCAACGCTCCCTTCTATGCCCATCTATTGATGCAAATCAGGCTTTCAGCGTATGCTTACACCAACAACGAATTTAGGAAGAAATTGGCTGCTGCCCCAGATTTTTATGTATTCAGCTGTCAGACATCAAGCCCAAGTTCAAAACTGTTTTAACTACAAAAATGAAATAATTTCATTCATCACTTTCAGTTTGGATCCAGTATTTTCCTATACCAAATAAATGTTTTCTGGTACCAAAATAAAGGTTTGTGGTTGTATTTAAAATATTTTCTCTGTATTTCCAAACCTACTACATACAAAAATACTTAAACAATAGGAGTAGATGAAAGAAAGAAAAGAAAACTTTGTGGGTTCACAATGCCTAGGGACAGAGTTAGAGTTCAGTTGGGGGAAAGTCTTCTGAAGGATTCCATGGCCAAAAAGTTTGGGAATGGCTTGTATAGAGAGTATGTATCAAATTCAGATATTTGAATCAGTGAAGTTTTCTTGATATGACTGGAAATGATTCTCATTTTTGTTTTTGTTTCTAAACAGACAGTGTATGCTTTGCCCACCATTGCATTTGCATTTGTGTGTCACCCTTCAGTCCTTCCAATCTACAGTGAACTTAAAGAGTAAGAACATATTTATTGTTTCATTATAAACGTGAACCCTGATGTCTCCAGAATGTTGATGCTGGAGTCTACATTGTTACTTTTCAGAGCAAAGGAACTTTTGTTTCATCCAAACAACAGGATCCACTTGCCCTCTAAAGCAGTGGTTTCCAACTATTTTTTTAAACCAGAAACTGCTTTGACCAGGGACCACTCTCCAAAAGTAGTATTAAAAGGGTTACAAATCGGTTTTTGGTGAACTTTACATTTGATTTGGTTATTTGGGATTCTGATTCAGAAAACTGCATTGGATAGACCACGTCAGCTCTAGTTTCTGATAAAGAACATAAGCCATCCAGTAATTGCCATCCGTTCACCCACAGAAAACCATATTTAATCTAGAGCTGATGTGGTAGTAGTAATCTTTTGTGGATAGTCAGCCTCTCCCCTCCCGATATCCCCATTACCTCGGCACTATTAACAGGGTTTCACAAGAAATCAGGGTTTTGAGACAACAGTGTAGTAATGGTGAGGCCGCTGACCATATTTTCATTCTTGCGGACCACTGGTGGTCCACGGACCACAGGTTGGGGGGCACTGCTATAAAGGCATGGTTTAATAGGGTTCTGTTTGAAGAAGCCACAAAGCAGCCATAAGGCTTTCTTAATTTGGCATCTTAGACTAAAAAGAGCACATTCCAGGTCACTAAGGTGTTGTGGCTCCATACCAGTAGCCATGCTGGATTCTGGGAGTTCTAGTCCAAAAAGTTGATTTCCAAGCTCTTATCATTAGATCTCCTGGTAACTACTGTTTCCTTGATACAGAGGTACAGGCACGATAACAGAAGAGAGGGAGACACAATTTGATTTCAGAGCTGGGAATTAAGGGTTTTGAAAACATTTTGTTTTGAGGTTCCTCCTCTCTTTTCTAACCAATTCAAACATGATGCCCTTGCTCTTTCTAATGATTGTTCTTCCATAAATTGAGAGGTCAATTTTTTTAAAATCAAACCTGGGATCACCAGAATTCTGTCACATTTCTAGCCTAAACTAGATTATTTCAAGCATCCAAACATGAAACATGTAGTCTCTTTTTTTGCTGGACTCAACTTACCATATTGCACCGTGAAATATTACACGGTGGCTACTGTTATGCAATGAAATATGATATTTTGGTAAATATGCATATCTAATAAGCAATAAGATGTAAACCATGTATTTTAGTAGCACGTAGTTTAATGCCATATGCATCTTCTCTTCCCCCCACCCCCCCACCCCCATTTGAAAATGACAACTACCAAAAAGCCTGACCTGGATTAAGAGATAGGGCAGAAGGGATATAATACTCTGATAGAAAAGATGTTCATAAAGACATAGGAACCTGCCTCATAATGACACAAAATGTCATTGGGCCATCTAGCCTAGTATTGTTGACAGGGCAGGGTTCTAGAGAGTATCAGGCCTGCTGTAAACTGGAGGTGACTTATCCATTTCCAAGCCTGCTAGCTCTGGTTGTTTTTTAATTTCTTCTCATACCAAGGCTCTGATAAATCTTTTATCTCTCCAGGAATGGTGCTTGTTGAAGGAAGAATGCTTCTCTTGGCCCTTTGATACCAAATAAGTATTTGAGGTTGTCATCATGGAGCCACTCGCCCCTCACTGTTGACCTGATACGTTTGAACTTCCCAGCACCTGTTGTTTTTAGGGAGAAAGATAATGTTCATTTGATGTCATAAGTTTGACCTTGAGACTGAGTTCATTTATCCTGAGTCAACTGCAGATAAGTAGCTGCAATGCCGCAATTACAGTGCATTGACATTGTTATTGGAAGCCTACATGCAGGTGTCCAATACCTTTAGAGCTAAAGCAGGCTATTACTGGCTAAACAGAAGCCCATTTATGGAATTATTTCCCAAAGGGGGCTTCCCAGGTAACTACTTTGCTTTTACAGTCAGTCCTCCTGATCCACAGATTCTGCAACCATAGGTTCCACCATTTATGGCTTGAAAATATTAGGGGGAAATCAAAAAGGCAAACTTTGATTTTGCCATAAGAGACGTGGTTGTACTACACCATTGTATATAATTGGACATGAGCATCTACAGATTTTTGTATCCACTGGGGTCTCAGAACCAAACCTTGATGGATACCAAGGACCTGCTGTAATTTGTAATCTGTGTTAAAATCTTGCCAGCCAGTGTTAGTCACTGTTTCTTTATTATTCAATATCATTCCTCTCTCTCTTTTTTTTTCAGTCGTTCTCAGAAAAAGATGCAGATGGTTTCAAAAATATCTTTCTTTGCCATGTTTGTTATGTACTTCCTGACTGCCATTTTTGGCTATTTGACTTTTTATGGTAGGTAAGCAGTTTTTGCTGATGTGTGTGAAAATCTAAGTAGTCTTTTTAGCCTTATTTTTTTCTTTTGAAATGAAGTGTTGGTATGGGGAGATACTGTGTTTATTTAAAATATACATATTATTCCTTGCTCACTGATTTTTGTAGAATGGCATGAAGTATTTCATCTTTATTGTCACCACACGATGAGTGGGAAGTATACAAATCAAAGATGCTATATTTGAAGATGACATTTCTCTTCCCTTGAATTTTGTACTTTCTTTTGTATTGTGAGAGAAAGTACAGGAGGAAACTGGGCCACAGCCTACTGTGAAAAATTGGGCCACAGTCCTCTGTCATATCATTTATTCTTCGTGTCCTCTGCGAAATCCACACCTATGGGTTTCCCTTTGCACATGCGCAGAAATCCGGAACATTCTAAGTTTGATGAAATAAAAAAATGATTATTTAAGGCTCCGCCCACCTCCCCGCCCCCTCGGTATATATATCCCGCCGCGTGCGGGTGAGCTCTAGTTCCTTTTCCGCGCTAATCCGGCAGCATCTTGGAACATTCGCTCACTCTCTACCGGCTTTTCGACTAGGACTTCCCTCTGACTCCGTCTTTCTCCACTCCTGACCCGGACAGGCTGACTACTCTCTACTCCAGGCTAGCATGTCTTCTCCGTATTTTAAAAGCTGCTCAGCCTGCGGGGCTACTTTGCCCGAGGCCGATAAACATTCCAAATGTTTACTATGCTTGGGGGAGGCTCACAATCTCCAATCCTGTGAGATATGTTTAAGTTTCACCACTAGAGCCCGCAAGGGCAGAGATGCCCGTTTGAAAGCTCTCCTTTATGAACGCGCCTTGGCTCCCCAGACGCTTCCTCCCCCCTTCCCATTCTTCCCCAACCCAAGAGCTCACTCAGCCTTCCTCTCCACGTGCTGGAGATAGGCGAGATTCGAGCCAGGCAAACGCTTCCTCAGTGGAGCCGCCTAAAAAGAAATCAAAGCCCTCAAAACAAGCCACGAGGGCAGCTAAACCAAAAGAAAAATCTTCAAAACAAAAAAAGGGACGGCAACTCACTGGAGAGCAGCCCTTGAGCCCTCCTATGCTGGAACCGGTCTCCCACCTCCCCGGTTCCGCCCCTCAACTCCAAGATCCCCTCCCTTCTATGCTCCAGTTGGAGGATCCTACTTACCTTCCCCCTCTGGAGCTCCTGGATCCGCTCCAAAGTCAGCCGATCGCGGAGCTTTCTCCTCCGCCCCTCCCACCCTCCCAATCCTCACCTCCCCCCTCCCCCAGCCCACCAGATTCGCCGGTACCGAGGGAGTCTCCTCCCTCGGAGCAGCGCACCCCCGCGGCGCGGGCCCCGCGCCGCCGTCAGCGCTCTCTCTCTCCTTCCCCTCATCCCCCTCCTAACCCCCACCCTTCCAAGAGAGCTAGATCTGACCAATACCATCCCTATAGCCCTCAAGATTACCCTTATCACCTCTACCCTCCCCCCCACCCTATCCTATGTATCCCTTCTATTATCCACCCCCCCCCACCCACGCTAAGGACTACAATACCTATTATCCACCCCAGTTTGGATACCCTCAACCACCTCATGCAGCTCCTACTGCCACACTCTCTCGCCCTCCACAAGAACACATTGAACCAGATCCCCCCCAACCATGCCAAGACCCCCTCTCACAAGCTCACCAAGAGGTTGAGACAGTAGACTTGGAGTCCACTGATGATACTCCAGTATACACGAACCCCTTCCAGACCCTGACCCTTCCCCCAAAAATCTGGAAGAATTCAAAAAGTTCTCTGCTTTGTTCATAAGGCTCTCCAGAGCCCTGAATCTCTCTACACCTGAACCCACAGATACTGTGGTAGATCCATGCTTTACTTCTACTGAACAACAACAACCTGCTTCCACTGTGTTGCCCACTTTGCCCTTTCTACTAAAGATCTTAAAAAATACTGGTGTTTCCCCGGCTATGATCCTGGCAACCCCCAAGAGGGCAGAAAATTTATACCGTATTGATCTATCTTCAGCTTCGTGGCTATCTAAAATGCCTAAAGCAAATTCTATAGTAACTGATGCTCAACCAAAACCTGTCCAATCAAACCAGACTTCCCCCTCTGACAAAGAGGGAAGGAAACTTAACTCTATGGCCAAAAAGTTTTATTCCTCAGCATGCCTATTTGCACGCATGGCTCATTATGGGGTTTACATGAGTGTATACCAAACCTTCCTATGGAACAAAATATCTTCCTATTTAGAATTACTGCCTCCAGCTGACCAGCCACTGGCTCTGGCCTTTAAGCAAGAGGCTCTCCTTCTGTCATCATTGCAAAAGGACCTTGCAAGAAACACAGCCGATGCTTCTGGCAAACTCATTGCAGGCTCCGTGGCCCTTCGCCGCCATGCCTGGCTGAGGGCTGTTATCCTCTCTCAATCACAACGCACTCTCATTGAAAACCTTCCTATGGACGAGGCAGGACTGTTCAACCCTGAAACTGATTCACAACTTGAACATTCCCATAAAATGAAACAGACGGTCTTCAAATATGACCAACAACCTTACTCTCATCAACGTCAACGATGGGGCTCATACTACTACCGTCCTCACTACTACAACAGGCCTTATAATACCTCCTTCTACAGAGGACGCCAAAGATCTTACACCCAGTCTACGACCCCGAGACGTCCCCAACTCCCCTTCAGAGGTCAGTACCGTGGCTCCAGGCCCTCCAACAACTCTAAACGTTGTTTTTAGCACACCACTAACCACTGTCAACCACACTTCCACACATACATTATCACTTACATACCTCAACAGACTACAGTCTTTTCTTCCGGCATGGCAATCTATCACTACAGATGCCTGGGTCCTTGACATAGTTGAAAGGGGTTATGCAATAGAATTTGACACCTATCCACCCGTTGGGAGGGTTCTCCTCACACAACCCTCCCAAGAGATCTGGGAAGAAATACATTCTCTCCTTCAAAAGGGCACCATTTCTTCTAACCCCACACACAATGCTAACACCTGCTTCTTTTCTCGATATTTCTTAGTAGACAAGAGAGATGGAGGGCTACGCCCCATCCTGGACCTTCGCAGGCTTAACACCTTCATCACACCACGCAAGTTCCGCATGGTTACACTTCCTAACATCCTACCCTTCATTCCACCGGGAGCGTGGCTAGCGACGGTGGACCTGCGGGACACCTACTTCCACATCTCAATTAGAGAATCTCATCGCAGATTCCTAACCTTTGCAGTGCACAACAACCACTTCTCGTTCACTTCTCTCCCGTTTGGTTTATCCACCGCACCCAGGGTATTCACAAAATGCATGTCAGTCATAGCGGCACACCTCCGCCAGCAAAACATCGTGGTTTTTCAGTACCTGGATGACTGGTTATTTTGTTCTCCTTCAAAAACGCAACTGTACAACGACATTCATTACACCTTGTCTCTCTTACAGGACTTGGGTCTGGTAGTAAACCAAGAAAAATCCCATCTCACTCCGACTCAACGAATCCAGTTCATAGGAGCCGTCATAGACTCCTCTCTCCAGAAGGCCTTCCTCCCGGACGACCACTTCATCAATCTTCGACGAGCAATCCTAAGCCTCCAACACTCCCGCAGAACTTCGGCCTGGGCTATCCAGTCTATCCTTGGACACATGTCGTCTACCACAAGTGTAACCCCATTTGCCCGCCTAAAAATGCGGCCACTACAAAGATGGTTCATCAAATCATTCGACCCCCTGCGGGAACCTCAATCCCGCATCCTATACCCACCTCACTCCGTCCTCCACTCCCTCTCATGGTGGACAAAGCAGTGCAATGTTCAATCAGGGATGCCTTTCACCCAACCTCACCCATCCATGTCCCTCACGACAGACGCCTCCAACTCGGGTTGGGGAGCGCATCTCAAAGGGTTCAAAGTAAGCGGCCATTGGTCCCCTCGGGACCGCAAGTTCCACATCAACACACTCAAGATGATGGCGGTAGAAAAGGCCCTCAGAGCCTTTGTCCGCATTGTCTTGAACCGCAAGGTCCAGATTGTGACAGACAATACCGCAGTCAAATATTATCTCAACAAACAAGGAGGAACACG